GGGGGGAGTGGCGCCGGGGACGCCCGGCAGGTGCCTGCACTGAAGGGCGTGGTGGGGGTCTCCAATCCAGGCACCAAGTGCCGGGTTAGCATTGTCCAGCCCCGCCCGCTCCGCATCCCCCAAGAGCGGCTGCGCTCGCAGGGCGCCTGTCACCGTGTTTCACTCCAGGGGGCTTCTCCCCACCCTGGGGCGGGGAAGCAAAGAGACGGAGCCGAGCCCAGCCGAGCCCAGCTAACTGGCGCTTTCCCAGCGACCTGCAGCCCCTGCTAACCAGACTGTCGCGATGTGAAACCTGCCTTCTGAACAAAGAAGCGGCCCCGAATGCGTGTGAGCGGCGGGGCGCTGCATCCATGCCCTGGACCTGTCCAGGCCCGAAGGAAAGACGGGAAACGGGGAATCTCTGGGGTTCGCCCCTGGCGCTGATTTCCCGCTTGATCCCCTTCTAGGTCTATTGTCAGCGGCCCTCGGAAGAGGCTCATGATGCCCGAGCACAGCCTGGAGGGTTTCTCTCCGACACATTCGGAAGACAACGAGATCAGCATCAACGTGGGAGGCTTTAAGAAAAAGCTGAGATCCAACACCTTGCTCAGATTTCCCGAAACCAGGCTGGGCAAACTGCTGAGCTGCCACTCCAAGGAATCGATTTTGGAGCTCTGTGACGATTATGACGACGCCCAGAACGAGTTTTACTTTGACCGGAACCCCGAACTTTTCCCCTACGTGTTACATTTTTACAACACCGGCAAGCTGCACGTGATGGGCGAGCTCTGTGTGTTCTCCTTTAGCCAGGAAATAGAATATTGGGGTATCAATGAGTTCTTCATTGACTCCTGTTGCAGCTATAGCTACCATGGGAGGAAAATGGAGCCAGATCAAGAGAAATGGGAAGAGCAAAGTGACCGGGAAAGCACCTCCTCTTCCTTTGATGAAATCTTGGCCTTCTACAATGATGCTGCCAAGTTTGACAGACAGCCCTTTGGAAACATTAGGAGGCAACTCTGGCTGGCTCTGGACAATCCCGGCTACTCTGTCTTGAGCCGAATATTTAGCATCCTGTCAATAGTGGTTGTTCTTGGTTCCATTGTGACCATGTGCCTGAACAGCCTCCCAGACTTCCAGCTGGTTGATAGTTATGGGAAGGTAGAAGAAGACCCTCGGTTTGAAATTGTGGAACATTTTGGCATTGCATGGTTCACATTTGAGCTGGTGGCAAGATTTGCAGTGGCTCCTGACTTCTTGAAGTTTTTCAAGCATGCCCTGAATCTGATTGACCTCATGTCCATCCTGCCCTTTTACATTACCTTAATTGTTAACTTGGTTGTGGAAAGTAGCCCAGCTTTAGCAAATCTAGGCAGAGTAGCCCAAGTTCTGAGACTAATGAGGATCTTTCGCATCTTAAAACTTGCTCGACATTCAACCGGCCTCAGGTCTCTTGGGGCCACTTTGAAGTATAGCTACAGAGAGGTAGGGCTTCTTTTACTATACCTCTCTGTTGGGATCTCCATATTCTCAGTAGTGGCTTATACTATTGAAAAAGAAGAAAACGAGGGCTTAGCCACCATCCCTGCTTGCTGGTGGTGGGCTACAGTTAGCATGACCACTGTTGGCTATGGAGATGTTGTCCCAGGAACCACTGCTGGCAAGCTGACGGCGTCTGCATGCATCCTAGCTGGTATCTTGGTGGTAGTGCTTCCTATAACACTTATCTTCAATAAATTCTCTCACTTTTATAGGCGTCAGAAGCAGCTAGAAAGTGCCATGAGGAGCTGTGATTTTGGTGATGGAATGAAAGAGGTTCCACCAGTCAATTTAAGGGACTACTATGCGTATAAAGTTAAATCCCTTATGGCCAGTTTTACCAATCTGAGCAGGAGTACTCCTAGTGAACTAAGCCTAAATGATTCACCACATTAGACTGCAGTTCTGACAGCATTTTGCATGACATGCACCAAGAGCTATGTTTATAAACATTTTCCTATTCCTTGGGTTTTCTCTAGTGTATAGTGTTGCTGACACTGCACTAACTTTGCACCTAACAGGAAATTTAGTTACAAGCTGACAATTTGCACATTTTCATCCTGTTGCATAGAATCTAAATGCTCATTTTTCTAGACAAATATTGCTGTGTACATGACACTAGTGCTAGTGGTGCAGTGCTGATTTGTTACAGTACTTTGCTCATTTGCTTTAGAAGTCCTTGTGTGAGTAGAGAAATGAGTTGATCCAGAGGAAAATTCACAACTGTGAAATTAACAATGAAATAACTAGTTTTCCCTTACATTGATGTGACAACTCTTAATATCTGTACATTTCCCAATTAGTTTAAAGCCATCATAATACACATTTTAACTGATACGAACTGTAAGTTTAGAAATTACCCATGAATAGTTTACATGGTAACACATTGCTACCTTGTTATGCCTGCTAATTCTAATAATAACCACATCCCTGGAAACATGTTTGAGTCTAGCTGTTCAGTGGAAATTGGTATTTATTCTAGAGCATGTGTATTAAAGCACTAGGTGTTCTTTTGAAATTAAACACGTAGGAGAGGTTTCCAAAAACTCTTGGCATTAATCTAACTCTGCTTCTAGCCATGTCAGAAGTAAAGCTCTGATTGCTTTTACTGGGAACTGAGACAGGCCATTACTGAGCACTTTTAAACCTACCCAAAGCTTTTACATTATGAGAGATTAAGGCCACATTGCCAAAAGTGGCCTACAACTTTGGTGCCTATCAAAGCACCAAGGGCTTGATTTTCAGAGCTGCTGAGTACCTGTAGCTCCTATTTAGTTAGAGCTGCATATATTCAGCTTCTCTGAAAGTCAATCCCAAAGGAAGAAAGGAGGAAGCTGGGCTCCAAAGGAAGTTGGGTTCCCCAAAAGAAGGCATTCAACAATTAGAAGCCACATGTGAAAACTTGGGTCTGGCTAGTGTATGGAAATATCCCGAAGTGAATGATAAAGGCCATATTTTTGGAGCTGACATTTATCTACTGGAAGATGACTAATTAAAATGATAGCATATGCATTTCTGAGATCCTGCCTAATTTTACCAGGGAGGATTGTTTTGATGCTTGGCATGAGAATTAAAACAGGTGTCCATGGTACATAATCTCATTAAGAGGTCTGCATATGAAACTCTAAAAAAAAAATCTAGTAGTTCAACTTAAAATGGTTCAGAAAAGAACTCCTGTCTCTCAGCTAAGGCAGAAGTATTAAAGCCATGTAACACATAATGTTGCACTCACTGCGTTAGAGCATCAGCATGGATGATTTATAGCATCCGACCTACCATTTGTAAAGTCTGTTTTAATAAATAGAGAAGATTTTATTGTTATTTAATTGTCCAAATTATGAATTGGCAGCGTAAATTAATGAGTGCTCAAAGTTGTCTTCCCCTGCCCACTGGATTGGTTTAAGGATATTATGATCCACTCAGATAATACCCTCTCTATCATACCACCTTATTTCCTGTTTACTAGAGAACTATGCTGTTAAACAAACTACCAGTTCTCAGCTAGCAAAATGACTCTTTTCTGTTCAAACCCTGTTGTATTGCCATTCAGTAATATATTGTTTTTCAAGTCAATTTAGTGTATATTAATTTATGAAGATATGGTGGATTCAGAAAATAGATTCAAATTAGGAAGACTAGGAATTGTATTAAAGAATTAAGGCCAACACAGTAACATTTGGAAGCCTAAAATTAGACATCTAAATAATATTCCAGCACTTGAATGAAAATGGCCTAATTATCAGATATGCTGAGCATCCAGACCTCCCCTTCAGTCATAAGGACATAGGAACTGTCAAACTACAGCAGCCTGAGGACTAGATAGTTCAGTGATAGGTCTAGATCTCTGACAGAGGCCCGAACCACATGCTTCAGAAGAAACCTGAAGTATACAGATGTGGAATAACCTGCCCATGAGGAAAATTTCCTCCCAGCCCTCGTCAGTTAGTGGTTGGCTTATGCCCTGAAGCATGAAGGTTTATATTCATTCTAAATGTTTTCTTTTAAAACATGGGGCCATTTATATTTAAGCTTTTGAATGTGAATTTAGGTGCTTAAATTTAGGCATTCACATTTGAAAAGTTTGGCTAAGACTTTTACCACTGGAGGGCTGAGATCAATTTCTGTACTGGGTCACATGTATGGCTAAATTTGGTGGATTCAACCAAGTACTTAATTGGATCACAGTATCATCAAAATTGTAGTCAAAAGCACAGCACTAGATTACAGGCATTTCAGGTTAGGAATGCTTGCATAGTATGTAGCACCGGGTGGGCTGAATCCTGCAAAGATGGCAAAAATTTTCATTGATGCCAAGGACAATTTGGCCTTCATTATATTTACCAGTTTGTGGTCTGTGCAGACTCTCAATGCAAGGCTCTTATTTTCTCATCTTCACAAGCAAAGAATTCATAAAGTCAAAAAAATCCCAAATAGTATTTTATTGTTAGGCCATTATGTCAGCAAACACACAGAATAGCTAAAGTGTCACCAATTCCCCCAGCTCTTAGTTTAGCATTGCAAAGTCTGGATTATTTAAATAAGATATAGATTATCTTCTCTTATAGATTTATTTATGGGGCCATTGTTAAATAATTTCTGCAGAAATTGAATAGAATGTTTCCAAGTTGCATTTTATGACAGAAAATGAAGTGCCCCAAGGCGTCACTGTTTTTATTGTATTGGTTGTAAGGAATTTTCATTATTGCTTTTTTTATATAAGTGCTATGGATCAAAAATGCTAAATAAAGTATTGCAATTTAGTACGCACTCATTGCCATGATTCATTATGAAAACAACCTTATATAGAACCATTAATTCCAAAGGGCCCCTCCCTGTACACTTCACAAGCTTCATCCATCACATAAATGCAATAGCTAGTGGGGTGAAATTTGGTCAGTGCTTAGGACACAAAGTAGTGAGAACCATATCCAAAAGAGGACATGTTGGCAGACTGAAAGTAATTATCAAATCTCAAACTTTCCCAGGACACTAACAACACAGACAAAACCAAATCAAACAATTGATCGTTTTGTCATTGTTTTATCCAATGTCAGAAATGAGTCCTTTATCAAGACTTACAGCCCTGCTTTTGTAAAATGCTTCAAGACTAATGCAACATGGAGTGGGAGAGAAAGGGGACTCAGATCTTAGGTTTGTATCACATACAAAATACACTACCCCAGTAGCACAGCTCTCTCTAGCACCATTGGTTTTGATTTAAATAATACAGTAAATATGCCTGTGTAAGGAGAAATGAGACACAGTCTATCTGCTATTTTATAAAGGCAGCTATTTTAGGATCCAATCCTGTGAGATATTGAGCACCCTCATCCTCCATTAACTGCAATAGAAATTAATAAAACTAGAAATGTTGCAGGAGCAACTGAGCACTTTGTAGTTCTGACCCTGAGGCTATGTCTACACTACAGGCTTCTTGCGCAAGAAGCTTTTTGTAGAAGAGATCTTCCACATAAACCTCTTGCGCAAGAGAGCGCCCACATTGCAAAAGTGCATCAAAAAAGTGAAGCAATTTTGTGAAAGAGAGCATCCAGACTGCATGGATGCTCTCTCAAAGGGAAACTCTGATTGCTATTTACAGAACGGCCACCAGGGTACCTGGGTTTTTTTTTATTGCCTCTTTTTGCGCAAAAACCCCTGTTCCCCATCCATACACACCTTTTTGAGCAAGAGCTCATGAGCAAAAAGGAGTTATTCCTCATAGAAAGAGGAATACCTACTCCAGAAAGACCCCTCTCTTCTTTCATTTTACTTGCGCAAAAACATGCTTGAGGTGTGGACGCTCCACGAGTTTTTGCACAAAAATGGCTGGTTTTGCTCAAAAACTCCATAGTATAGACCTAGTCTTACAGAGAAGACAAACTATTTGGTCAGGCACTATCCTGCTGGATTTTTTACATGACTGGTTTGTAAATTTGAGACAGTCTTGTGCCTTATGAAGTAGTAATGCCTGAATTTGAGGCAGAGAGGTGTCACTGGCAGTACTCCATTGTGTTCTAAACTTGAAACATGCCAGGGCCCAAAATCTGCTTTTTATGCATGTGCTTTCTAATTGTGAGTAGAAAGCACCTGCTTTGTAAAGGGCACATATCTGGTCTCAGAGAAAACTCTGAAAACCTGTTGCTATTGCTTGTTGCATGCTAAAAAGTTTAAAGTGGTTAAATGAGGATTATGGTATTATTTCCAACCAAGTATTTTACTTCATCTGAGGGATTACACTTTGTTACAGAATTCTGATTTCTAGTAAATCTCAGGAAAAACTTCCTGGGAGAGCATTAGGACAATGCAGCAGACTGCCTACGGTGGTTATGGAAGTTCCTTCACTGGAGGTTTTCAAAAGAAGGATCGATAACCATCTGTCTTGGACATTTAGACCCAACAAATTCTGCATCTTGGATGATCCTTGAGTTCCCTTCTAATCCCATGACTTTATAGATCTAGGCTGACGATTATAGCATTCTAGGCTGCCACTGAAAAGCAGTGTAATTTATTTATAGCTTCTGATGATGGAATTAGTATTTGTTTAGATTTAGGTATTGACATTTGTTTTATTATTCATAGATCTTAGTCACTTACTAGTCGTCTCCTCCTGTGCAGGCTGTGTGTTATCCATTTTGAAATCAGACTTTTTTCTTTTATAATACAGCATGATTTTGTTTCACATTTGTAAGCTTAAAAATTGATAACTTTGTGTTTGTTACTTCAGTTTTAGCATATAGTGTTGCACATTGTTGTGTAGGCCTTTATTAAGACAGAAGTGATATATGTGTTACCATTTTACTTTTTTATCTGTATAATCACACTGGTACACTCTGTAACTCCAGACTTGTGCCACATAATGCAAATTAACAGAAAAAAAAACAATATTTACATTTCATCAAGGGCTAAACATTTTATCTAAACTGCGGGGCATTCTAATTTTGATTAAAGGGAAGCCTACAAAAGGATAGGCTTCTTTATACAACTTTACATCAGAATATGTTTATTTAAATGTTCTTCTCTAGAGAAACACCTTTTGGGGTTAAACAGATGGCATACAACTCTTGTTTTTTGTTTGGTAGATTAGGGACTAAGCAAAATACTAATAATGTTCCTAGGTGTTAAATCAATTTGACATGACCTTTCATTTTTTCCACAACAAAATCTTTCCTTAGAGGCCCCTGCTGTGCACATATAAACAGTGTTCTGTGCTAGCTTGATTATCTGGTTCCTTTCATAACATTTCTGATTAATCTACCTTGGATGGTACTTTCAGATAACATTTGACTTGCAATCACTGCCCATGTCCCTCAGGAAGGTGTCATCCAGTGATAGCCTCAGTTTATGCCTCTTCATTCATATCTCACTTTACCACCTCACTATCAATGAGGTTGCACCAGAGATTAATTTGATCTACTCTCTTCTCCTTCCAGCTATCCAAAGCAAGGTGGGGATATAATGATGATGATCTCCTGCAGATTCAGAAGCATCTGTCAGAGATATGTCTTATATGCAAATTAAAAAGCCAGTTCTTCCCACCAGAAAATAAACTACTGTGTTAATAGTACAAGCAGTATCTAATGCATTATACAGAACTCATTGCATAGCTGGCTTAGGGTATGTCTACACAGCAACTAGACACATGTGGCTGGTCTGTGTAGCTGTTTGGGTGCAGGCTGCAGCTGAGCACTGAGACCTCCCACCACACAGGTTCCTACATCCAGGGCTCCAGTCTGAACCCAAACATCTACACTGCAGTTAAATTGCCTCTTAGCTCAAGCCTTAGAATCTGGAGGCAGCTGGCATGGGCCAGTCACAGGGTTTTAATTGCTGTATACGTACCCTGAGAGATTAGCTAAGTTTTCTACTGTCCCTTCAGCCCAATTTTTAAGTCTGTTATGGTGCTTTATCTACATCAAAAGCACCTGATGCCCACACTGTCGTCAACTGAATCATGAACCCTCATACAGAAAATGATGGACCGTCAATTGGCAGAAGAAACCTCCTCCAACTTCAGGAAGTGACTGCCAAGGTTATGCAACTATAATGAATCATCTTTGAGCTTGATGGGTGCTCTCTGAAGTTCAGCCGGAAAAGTGTTGCTGAGCTGATGAGCTATACTTCAGCCTGAGCCTGATGAGATATTCCTGAGCCTGATGACCTGAAGGATCCATACCAACCAATTAGGGTTCAACCAATCCACAGGCATAGATCTAACCAGGTGGCCCCCAAGACCAGTGATAGGGGTTTCCAGGGAGAGCAGCCACTCCAGTCTGCTCAAAATCACTGCCTCAGCAGAAATACCACCTGCCACTTGGTGGTTCTGACAGATTGCTCTAGCTCCTATTTCAGACTTGTTCCAAACCCATTCATGATTCCTGGCCTGACCACCGCTGCTTCAACCACTTGTTTGAGTAATTTTCCTCCTTTTGTGTCCTGACCCAGTAGCTGTGATGAAGACCTCTGGAAAGTCCATCACTGTGACGACAGTTGGTCCACAGCCATTGCGATCAAGTTTCCCAGTTACATCTGGAGAATCCCGCCTTTCACCCAGAGATCCTGCTAGCACCAATAACCTCAACTGAACCAGTCAAGATACCTTTAGAACCCAACCTAAAGGTTCCACTGCTGGAAATATTTGATGGGAATCCCCAGGAGCTCTTAACCTTTGGCTCCTAATGAGTCCTGCAATATAGCCCAATGATCAGACCAATGTGAGATTTATTATTAGTTTATTAACCAGGAAAGCCCTGGACTGGGTCTCACAGCTTCTGGAATAGCCAGCCCCATTCTCAAGAATTCTGATAATTAATCCAGGTCTTTTCTGTAATGCTTACTGAGCATTACATGGATCTGAATCACTTGTGCAATGCTGCAGTTGCCCTGTAGTTTTTCTAGCAGAGCCACTGACCCATCTTGACCTTTACTGCACTTTTTCAGTGGCTGGTTGCTCATAGAAAGTGGAATGCTATCTGCCTTTTTGGTGGACATGAGGGCCACTTTGTCATAAGAACATAAAAATGGCCATACTGGGTCAGACCAAAGGTCTATCCAGCCCAGTATCCTGCCTGCCAACAGTGGCCAATGCCGGGTGCCCCAGAGGAAGTGAACTGAACAGGTAATGATCAAGCGATCTCTCCTCTGCCATCCATTTCTACCCTCTGACAAACAGAGGCTAGAGACAGTACTCCTTACCCATCCTGGCTAATATTCCATTTCTACCCTCTGACAAACAGAGGCTAGAGACAGCACTCCTTACCCATCCTGGCTAATATTTATTAATGGACTTAACCTCCATGAATTTATCTAGTTCTCTTTTAAACCCTGTAATAGCCCTAGCCTTCACAACCTCCTCAAGCAAGGAGTTCCACAGGTTGACTATGCACTGTGTGAAGAAGAATTTCCTTTTATTTATTTTAAACCTGCTGCCCATTAACTTCATTTGGTGGCCCCTAGTTCTTATATTATGGGAACAAGTAAATAACTTTTCCTTATTCACTTTCTCCACATCACTCATGATTTTATATACTTCTATCATATCCCCCCTTAGTCTCCTCTTTTCCAAGCTGAAAAGTCCCAGTCTCTTTAATCTCTCTTCATATGGGACCCGTTCCAAACCCCTAATCATTTTAACTGCACTTCTCTGAACCTTTTCTAATGCCAGTATATCTAATGTCACTGAGATCCCTTTAAATCCAGACCTTTGGCAATCTAGGGAAATTATTGTATATATCGCCACTTAAGAGTTTGTGGGTAGA